ACGCTCGGGGCCCCATATTGGCTTTTCGCGTTTCCTCTGTGGCAGCTGCTGCTGCTTGGCCGATTTTCCGAGGTGTTTGAGTATGTCGCCTGTAGAAGGAGAGCCCTGCTCCGTCTGAATGCGCACCCGATGTTTGAAATCCTCCCAGCTTCCATGTGCTGCGGGGACATAGTACCGAGCGTTGCGCTCCCAGAGTCCCTTTCTGGGCTGTTTCCTTGCCCATTGGGAGACCTTTTCAAAAAAGTGATACCAGCTGCCTGTGTTGCGCGCGTCCATCTCCCAATTCCACACATAGTCGAACTCAGGGTGCTGGTAAGACCACCATTGAACAGGCATGAATGTGCTTCTGTAATTGCCGTAGACAGACCTTCTTGGATGTCGTTGTTCCATGCCCCAATATATCAGCTCCATCTGCTTCTCACTCCAAAGAGTTCCCATGCCTTCGAATTCCTCGGGCAGAGAGTCTTTCAAAATAGTGTCGTGTGTCTCTTTGTCAGACCAAATGGGGATATCATCGTCTTGAACATGAATCAGGAAATGGACAGTATACTCACCCCCTGAGAGCAAAGACAACTCAGCGATCAACGAACGCAAGTAGATGATCGTCTCAGGGGTATACTGGTATCCGTACCATGTTCTCAGGAGAACAACCGTCCGCTGTACCCTCTCACTCCCTCGCTCGTCCTTCTCGTTCGTGGCGTTCGCCTTTGTCCGAGATTCGGATACCGCTCGCGTAGTGAAACGGTGCAGATTAGCCTGAAGACATCTATCCTGCGCCTCACCCCATTTCACTTTGCGAAAGTCAATGGGCGGAATATCCTCCCACACAGACTCGATATCCGTTCTATCACCACCGTTCACTCCGGCCCCTGACCCTCCCAGATCCTTAGCATAGCCGTAGCCGTAGGGTCCCAGACGGCCAAATCTGTCGAAGCAGAGATCATCTTCTATGCCTAACAACTTGTTCGAGCCCACGGGTGCATCGGGGAAAGCGGCGGGCACGCCGGGGTAGTACCTCAGCCGAGGGACATCAATCGTGCCATTCGCGTCTAGAAAGCAGTCGTGTTTCACGCCGTACTGCTCGTTGTACTCAGGCGCGGTGTAATTGGGGTAAGGATTGAAGGTGGCGCCTTGCATTGAAGGGCCCTGTTTGAGTAGGTCCTCGTAGTCAGCGTTGCCGACATCGAAATAGGTCGACTTTGTGTTGAATGTCTTTGTGCCGTTGCCAGTATATTCAGGCGTATTCTCCTCTCGAGGCACGAGGCTTCGTACGCCCCCGTAGAATCTGCCCAGGCGCTCGAATGCCTCCCAGGTATGGTCGTGTTTGTTGTGTGGCAGTGGGGATCTGACATGTGATGGGACAGAAATCACTTTCCACAGAATGATGCCCGTCAACAAGATGCAGACAAGAACGGCGAAACAGAGGTGCTGTAGCCAGGCATAAGGAATGCGCATCCTTATCATTGGATTGCCCTGCACGGGTCTGAAGATCTTCGTTTGGTCGTGGAAAACGACGGGATGTGGTGGTGCTTCTTCTGTATCTGAAGAAGCAGAAGGCGATGATGGAGTGTGCGTGCGTCGGTTGAAGCTGCGTAGTGGCAACGCTTCATCATCATCATCATATGCATCCTCCTCGCCATGATGGTATTTCTTCTCGATATCACTGCCGTCTTCAAGCTCGTCGTCGGTCTTCTTCCTCTTCGCATCCTCCCTGGAAGCACCACGGGGTAACGAAGAGGTACTGAATCTTCGCACCATCACGCAACTCAGCGGTATATGCAGACCAGGAAGACTCAAAGCTCTGCAGTTGTCTTCCCATCAACATCAAAAAAGGAAAAGTGCCTGCCGGATCGGCTATGTATGTTGCCCGTTGTAAGTATGTATGAGGAGACGCGCAGGGCCGGTGACGTCTCTGTAGTTAGCGCACGGGGATGCGATCACCCCCGGATGCGACCACCCTTCCTCCACCAAAAAGAGCCCAGAAGAGCCCTTTTGTCACCTTCACCACCAACAGAGTAATGCTAGCAAGGGAATTTCTGTCATTTAGAGGCATTCTCGATACTGGATGTCTGTCGGCGCAACAATGCTCGTCTTCGGGCTTTTCTTTTCCCGCAATGCGCGAAAGGTCTTGACAATGCCCCTGTTCAATTTCCTGGGTCACGTCTCGTTCCCCGTCTACCTGCTTCACGATACCGTCATCCGCACGGTTCTCGTGTGGATGGTGTACGGTCCGTCTGCAAGCCAACTGCCAGAGACGGATGCAGAGGGTAAGCCTGTGCCATTGCAGAGGGTTAGCCCGACTGCGTTCATCTTCATCTTGCCCATTTTCTACGCAGCAACGTACCTGATTGCATACATGTGGAATTGGTACGTTGATCCGAAGTGTGCGAAGGTGGTGGATTGGTTGAAGAACCTCATGTTTGAGAATGAGAACGATGTACAGACGGTTGAGAAGCCGGCGCCGCTGGTTGCGGTCACCGTTCACGATGGGAAATGATCTTGCTCCGCTTTGAGTGCTGGCGTGCTTCTTTTTCTTTCTCTTTTCGCTTTGACCTCGCTCTTGCACGCTTATTCCCATCATGGTTTTGGTTTTGGTTTTGGTTTTTTTTTTTTTTTTTTTTTGGTTTTTCGTATCTCAAGTCTTTCATGCATCGTGCATCGTTGTGAGCCTCCCGTTTCGTACCATGTATAGAAGGGAGAGGGAGGCTGGTTCTTCTTGAGCATTCAGGTCTCCTCGCATTTGCTTCGAACATCTACCCGGCCATTGACCTTTACATTGTCTTGTTTGGATATCCACTGTTGTACCACGCCGGTCTCATTCTGCACGATCCTTTGAATCTCCCCTTTCTACATTTCATAATCTACTTCTGTTCGTCAGCCTTGATCTCCGGTTTGACCATTATCTAACCCTTCTGGAAGGCATCTATATGTTGATTCGATTTGAGCCTCACTTTCAAATGCTCAACCCGGCAGTTTCTGTTCATATCTTCATCTTATCTATACGCTTCCCAGGCTTTGACTACCTATAGGTAGCATGCATATTCTCCATGGCACGTTCTTCACAATGTATTCAAGTCAAGGCCTTCGCGTCTTTAAAGACACCAACTGAAAGACCAGGGAAATGATTGAGACTAGGTTTCAAGGTTTCAAACTCTACCGAGGATAGCGATCGGCGATGGTCTTCTTTCCCGCTGGTAAACTCAAATCACCACAAAAAACGTGAATACACTCCCTACAGTCAACCCAGCCACAAGCATCATAGACATGAACCCGCCCGCAGCCTCTCTCTCATGCGGTTCAACCCATTCGTTGGCCGCCATCATCGTCGACCCAGCGACATACCCATTCGACAGCCCAAACAGAAATTGCACGATAACAAGATAGAAGAGATCACTAGAAATCCAAGCACCCCTGTTGTTGACGTTGCACGACATGTAGAGAGGGATGAAGAGGACTCGGGCTAGGGACGCGATAAACAGAACGAATGGGCGGTCACCCAGATTGAGACGCGGGTAAGCTGGGAAAACGCGTCCTAGAAGATCACCTCCATTCCAGAATAGAAGGGCTAGTGGAACAAAGGCGGCTTGGCGGAGGAAGGGCGCCAGATCCTTTTCGTCGGAGTGGACGCTTTGGATGACGTTGGTGTAGATGGGGAGGAACATGGTGACAAAGAAAGTAATGGCGACGGCAAGGGAGAGCCAGTGCAATTTCTGGAACAGAACGCTCAATGGAATCTTTGGAGTCGAGTCGTCTTCATCTTCGGTATCAGCCTCCTTGCGCAAAGATAGTGCGGCTGCTTTGCGGTCAAGGTAGCGGAATAGCACTAAGGCTATGGCCGAGACGATTGTTGCTGTTATGAAAAACGTGAACGCAGATCGTGGTGATTGGCCAAGTTGAGGAGCCCCATCATCATCGTCAGCATCGTTGTCAGAGCGGACAGTCAACACAGCTATGATTTGGACGATGCAAGGTAGCACGCCAGCGACGGAGTGACCTGTCATGATTCCCTGTATGTATCGGGGCTGATGAAATCCACCGATATAAGAGAATAGCCCATTTTGCACGAGCGCAGTCGCGGAGCCCGTACCAAGGCACATCAGCATAACGAACACGAAGTACGCGACGGCTGAGGCATTGGTGAAGAGAACCGTCGAGAGGGCAAGCAGCGTAAAGACCGCGAGATTGAGGAATAGGGATAAGTAGATCCGCTTCGAGTACGCATCGCGATTCTGCAGGCGCGCAAGAATGTAAGAGCCCGAGAAGTTTGTGATGCAGTAGACTGTGAGAATCGACGACTGGAAGTTCGTTGCCGTCCAGTCGTTCGATGAGAATCGTTGCTGGAAGTAAACTCCCGCAGCGAGGAACATGTTCCTATCAGAGAAATCATCAGCTTCAGTCCACACATGGCAATGCAAGCAGGGGTAACGTACCAAGCCCATAGCATGTAGACGCCCATCCAAAGAATGATCCAATAATCGACCCATGAGAAATACGCCGTCCCATGCCCCAATCCATCATGGTGCCCCTCCAGAGAAGCAGCACCCCTCTCGACGAAGGGCTCATGATCATCTCTCTCACCAGGGACTGGCTCGTATGATGTTTGACGGTCCCCGACGACACGATCCCGCCATCTTTTGAGCATGTCGTCTTGGTTGAGGAGCAGCAGCTACCGTGGGCACCAGTATCATCGGACAGCAGTTTGTGAGCTCATCACGAAGAGTCGCTTCGAGACAGTGAAGACGAAGAGGAGAGCTCATGCGTGGTGTGCTGTGCGTGGGATTCGTATATTGCCGCACCCACTGACTGATAACCGACAAAGTGCCGGATTGCGGTAGGGCGGAGTTGACAATTGACACCAGACGTCATGGACCAGAGCACGAACCATCAATAACCAGGACGAACATCAGCATTCCATGTTCGTATCAACGATCGCATAACATGAGCATTGGGGGATGAGATCTGATGGCGAAAACGATCTCGCAAAAAATAAAAAACAATTGGGGCTCAACCGGGGATCGAACCCGGGGCCTCGCGCATTCAAGATGATGCAACCCAAAGCGCGAATCATACCTCTAGACCATTGAGCCGCATATAATAAAATCACGCCTAAATACGCCTCATATAGGATTAGTGTTGTCGCCGCAAACTGCTTGATCGACGTCAACTCCTTCGTGTGCCAAACCAACCAAGCCAATTCAACGACAATTGAGGGAAATTATCACACGGAGCCCCAGGAATACCGTGTCTCGGTGTTAGGAGTATGTAGCCGGCTTCCTAGCTTCCAGGAACAACCCGTGCCTGGACATGTGTGCGATGCGTTCGAGTCTGGACGGGCTGGTATTCCTTGACTACCTCTCTCAAAACTTCACTTGAAACGAACGACATACGAACAGAAAAAAGCAAAAGGGGCCTCTTAGTGTGGTTCTACCGCTGAAACCACTCGTCCTGTTTCTTGGGGGCCTTTTGCCAGAAGGGTTTCAGTCCCCGGCGCAACACGCCAACCTCTGACCTCTGTCACTTTGGCTGCTCCAACAGGGGCAAAAGAAGAAGAAGCATAGGGGTACTTACAGGGGAAGGCCTTCCTCGTGGGTTGCCGAGTCCAATTGCACCGAAACTGCCCCGCCGCAAGCATCAGAAAAGCAGAGGGAGAAAGTTGGTCTCCATACGCTGGCGCATCCAGTCACCGCCCACGTACTACCAACTCACCGGCCAACGTCCATGTCCACCTCATCTTTCTTTTAGCGTCTTCAGAAACAGAGACCATTCCCTCTCCAGACCTCACAC